ACTGTAGCGTTTTTGAAAATCGTATAACTAGAATGAATCAAGTTAGACATTTTTTATTTATCTATCAAAAGCGTATTCAGAAAGATTTAAATTCTTTTGTCGTTACTATCGTCTAAATTAATTCTTCAATACAACATTGTCTCAATGACATTTACTTCACTATATCATATGTCAATTCTGGTCTAAATTATTTACTGCAACTCTTTTACAATTAAATCATGGATATATACAATCAGTTATATAAAAGTCAGTTGCTGTCAGTATTCGGAAAAGTTCAAATTCTGACAAATATTTATGTGCGGATCTACTTATCCATTTTCCACATGAAAATATCCATGTCTGATCAAATTTCCGTATATTAATTTCTACATATGTTAATCATTAATCTAACCCAAAATCTGAATTATTATGATCAACTTTAAATAAGGGTGAGAGGGTGAGTCAAAGCAAGCTACGACATGTTTCGACCTTGCTTAAGGGTCTCATCGGATAGTTTTCACTTAGTTAGATTTTCTGACTAAACAAGAGATTCTACAAGAAACAAGATTTTATTCTAAAGATAGTCAAAAAAGACACAGAATACTGTGAACTTTTGGTGATATTATATCAAGCGACCGATTGGAAAGAGAATTGAAAGTTACCTTCAGTCAAAATGAATATATGAAGGCTTAGCGAGTTTGTCGATCTATGAACTCTAATGTTTTTCATTTGAGCATCTGAGCAAGTTGTGTTTGTTTTTCTTCGTCTAGTTCTTCTACTTCTTCTTCTTCTTCTTCTTCTTCTTCTTCTTCTTATTCGATGGGTGGGTGTGAGTGTGGGGAGGGTGTGGGTGGGGGTCGGTATGGGTGTGGACATTTTTTCCATTTATTAACCACACCCACACCCACCACACATCCACCAACACCCACACCCTCAAAATAGGAAATTGGAATTCTGTTTTATAAATAGTTTCTTCGACTGAGGAGAATCATATGAAATCAATTGTCATTATGTGTATCTATTATGCTCGCATGTGTATTATTGGAGATTTGAAGATGAACATGAAGAAATTTCAGTTTAATTTTTCATTCGGTTGAAAAGTGTTTTTCACTAGAACAACAATTTTTTTAAAACTTAGTGAAACGGTTTTAAGTTACAGAATGAAAAATTAAAATTTGCTATTGGTTTCCAGTAATGATTACTAATCAAGTTACATTTTCTACAAAAGTTTATTAAAAGGGTATGGGCGTGAGTGCCCATCTCTTACCCACTCACCCACACCCATTCACATCCTAGAAAAGTCCAACAATCAAAATTCAACGTTTTGATAAGCTATGTGTTTTTCTTCTGTTTCTTTATAGATAAACACATTACTTTGCGCGTTATCTACACATGTGACCTCAAAACTCTAACAAAGAAAAGAAAAGCTTGTCAGCGCAGGCGCTTGACGGCTAAAATATGCAACTGCACACATGCATCGTGATTACTAAAAAAGAAGTCATCATCGAGCTATGATTAGGGTATGAGTGTGGATGAGCGTGGTTTTGAGAGTTTGAGTGTGGACGTGTGTTTGATGGTTTTTGGAGGTGGATTCACTTGCTATGGTTTATTATCGACAGAATAATCATACCTACACCCTCCTTCGTGAGAGGGGGGGAGCACAAGAATTGAGCTTATAATTTACACTCACATTTTTATATATAAATTTCACAGAAAAGATATCTATTCTGTTTTACAACCAATTAGAAATATTATATTTACAAGGTATACTTTACTAATTGCATTTATTTCTTATATTTTTGTATATATTTTGAAAGACATATAATTGAACGAAAAAAATGTCTTGTAGACTGAGACAAACATTCATCTTTTGTTGAATATAGATAGGTATTCTTAAACTTTCAAAATAAATTATTCTTAACCTATAAAATGAAACTCATCTCAAGTACAATAACATATTGTACTTCTTTGTAAAAACTATCATTGAGTTCAAAAAGGATTTATTAATTTTCTTGAACTAAAGCATAATCATCTTCTCTGCTGCTCTTTTTTTATACTTTAATTAATTATAAGTCTCAAATTAAGTCACCTGTAATAATTATTTGATTGAAGCTAAAGTAAATTATAAATAAAATAAAATTTGAAGCTTTTGTAGCGTTGTGATACCGAAATTGTTTTCATTAGGAATATATAAAAACAACAACGCTTATGTATATTTTTTCTTTTTAACTTCGAATACTTTTAAAGTGTTTGCTATAAAGAGATGACACAAGAAAATAATAATATTGATGAAAGAGACACATCTTGTGACTTTTTTTATCGTGTTATCATATACTAACATTATAACATGATATAAAGAGCGAAACACATAGATGTTTTCATATTACTTTGTTATGATGAAAATAGTGTTACTTTTCTAATATTTACGGTTTGATTTTAAATTGTTATTATTTTATTGTTTTACTGCATTTATTTCAGATGATTTATGTACTAAGAGAATAGATCAGTAGTGTAGAAATGGTTAATTCATTGCAAGTTTTTAACTTTTACTTGAGTTTTAAACTTCTAAAATATATAATTCAAGTACTCAGATTTTAAATTTCCAGTTGCGTTATAGTATCACTTCTCAGCTAGAGTCCATTACCCTCATTTCGAGGTAACCATTTCCCATCTACCGCCACCCACTCTCACTTTGAGCCATTTCCTTCTCCGCTGTCGTCCCTCATCCTCACTTCCAGGTAACCCTATCCCTGCTGCTCTCTCGCACAACCTTTAAGCAGCCCTACCTAGCTGTCATTTATCAGCCTCACTTTGTGACACTCCCCTCTCAGATAGCTTCCGTCATCTTCTCAACACGGACAACCGTATAATAGTCGTTAAAGTTTAAAATTCGAGTAGGTTCCTCGCATGCTGCATGTATAATGGCATGGGTTTGGGTGTGAATGTGTGAGTGGATGAAGATATCACCTGATCATAGTAATTTTACAGCAAAACCCACACCCATACCCACATTGATGGTAAAGTCGCTTGTAGTCTTCTGAAGCTGTGAGATCCATTGTTCCTTCCTAGAATTCATACTCACATAATTCTAGATCGATCTATCAATTTAAAATCTCTTTTTAGACCGCTTACTATATTAAATAGCACGACTAATCAATATATATTAGAATCCAAGATGTCTGTGACTGATAAATATCACAGAGATGAATTCGAATTACAGCATATGGTGACGAATGAGCGCCAACAGGAAACAGTCGAAAAGATGACTGTACATCAACATCAATTGAAGACAACGTAAACATTTGAGAATTCAATTAATGAAAAAGTATATATCTTATTAATATGAATTCTAGTTCCTCAAGGACACATAGTGTTTCCAAAACAAAAATCAAAATTGTCTGTGGAGCTGTATTGCTTCTCTTCGTCGTTAGTGGTGGCATTATAGCTTTGAACTATCATCGGACAGTACAAGTCATTGATGTCAATATCGAGAAAGAACAAGGTAAAACGAATCAAATTATTACCCATGTAAAAAAGTTGTGAAAATCATGATTTTTATGAGAAATCCGATGAGAAATCGATTTAAATGGCACGATTTTCATAGCTTGTTAATCGATTAAATTGAAAAAATTAATTAAAATCGATTAAGTTGTACATAATCAATTAAAATCCAATGATATTTAATTTTTCGTAAAAAAATAATTGGTTTTAATCGATTTTATACAACAATTTAATCGATTTTATACAACAATTTAATCGATTTTAACTGATTATTTGAACTTAATCGATTACTAAGCTATGAAAATCGTGCCATTAAAATCAATTTTTCATCAGATTTCTCATAAAAATCATGATTTTCACAACTCTTTTTACATGGGTAAGGTATAGACATCAGCGGGCGTGATTCGTTCGTCATATTAGAAGTTCACCTTATTTCGAAAACATTTTAAGAAGTTTTTGAAACTGCTTACCTATGCTTTGATTTCAAAACTTAATACATTTCAAGTTTCTAACGTAACAATGCGTGAAATTCTCATTTATCAGCATGAAAAATGACAAAATCTCCTTAACAATTCGGAAAAGCCTCTAAGAATTTTTAAAAGTTTCTGTATTAAACACCGTTGAAAAAAGTAAAGAGCCTATTAAAAGTCTTTGAGGGTTTCCATTCTGCAGAAGGGTTTACTCATTGTGTCTACCACTTCCATACCGAGATAATTATAGGACACTCTATAACTTTATGCTGGATATTACTATGATTGCATGATATATTTCAATAGGTGAAACAAAGATGGTGCAGGATTGGGAAAGTGAAGAGAAGACAGAGATGGACAATGAAATGTCAGAAATGAAAACATCACAACAACTCGAACAATTAGATGATGAGGACAATGTTGAAAACAACAATGAACGACTCCCTAAACTACGATCGTATGTTCATCGGGATGTAAGTATTATGTTTATTGTTTCTAGTCAACTATGTACATTTTCACTCAACTATAGAGATCTAGTTCGCGTCAAAGTACTGGTCATATGAATACTTATATTCGTTCAAACAATCGTCGTGATAGTGGTAGACGATCGTATCAACGATTTCGTTTTCCTGTTGCTCGATATAGTCGTCGTGACATGCGTATACTATATTATTGTTTTCCCTGATGCAATTTGATCATATATTTCTTTTAAGCTTTTAAGGGTCCCTTTCTTTCGTTCATGCCCTGGGCTCCAATCGTTGCCGATCGATCTACAAAACAAACAATTATTTATTCAAAAACAGAAGGTAGTGCATGAATACTAATTTTCTGCAAAATCATTTATAATGAGTTATCGTTTCAGTCTATGTTATACCGTCATTGATTAATACCTATGGTGATTCATACTCAATTGCTGAGCTTATTGCTTCTGGAGATGTGAGTTTAGACCGTAATGGTGGTCCACCGGCTAATCCTCTTCATATGAATCGTTTTTTCACCGACAATCCTGTTAGTTTTCTTTCTTTTAATCATTTTTCACTATCTTTTTATCACTTTATTAGTAATCGGTCCAAATATTCCAATGATCAACTCTAGACAAGGTGGTTTTAAGGGTGGTGTTCGCACTAATCTTGGTTCATTCTCGATTTCCAAATCGTATGAGACACGACCTAATATAGATTCTACATATGAATCGGACGAAAAGGAATAAGAAAAAGAATCATCACAAGAACAAGAACAAGAAAAAAAGTATCGACCTGCTTCAAATGTGAACAATTATTATTATAAAAAACCAAGTAATAGATTTACAGCTTCGAGTAATGTTTATCTCCTATATTTGAGTCAGTTTAATCAGATTTTAAATAAAAATAGCTTGCATAGTAATAAAATATTCTATAAATATGGAGCCTATAGAAAAGGAAAAAAAAAAGAAAAAAGTATTAACGGTTTTAGATAGGATGATCGCGGTAAGTAATATGCACGGTTTTAAATAGGATGATCGCGGTAGGTAATATGAAAGGTTTAGAGAAGACTGAGCGAACAACAGGTGGGGAGGCAAAATAGAACGTCTGTAGGTATATGTACAAAAAAAAAGATAATATACATTTTTGTTTTTTTGAAACGTTTAATACCGCGGTTTGACAAACCAGTGAGAACGGCGGTACTATATATTGCGACATCAAGTGGTTACATCAAATCGCGAAAGTCAGACCTTTTATTAGGTTCTTTGAAACCGCCTTAAACCGCGGGATGTACGAATGCGGTATTATACGTTTTAGCTATGGTCGCGGTTTGCAGAGGTGTTAAGAAACCTAATAAAAGGTCTGACTTTCGTGGTGCTACTAAACCGCTAAGATCAATGTATTCAAATACCGCGATTATCCGCGGTATTGTTTGAAAAAACTTTCCGTGGGTAGTATAGAATTCGTAATAGCATTATCAAATCTCTCAGTTTTGACAGAGAACGACAGAGGTAAAAGTTCATCTATGCAGGTGAAACAAGTATTTTCATGATAAGAACATCTAACCTAAATAGAAATCACTTTATTCTTTCAATGTTGCATTTCTCGAGAAAAAAACTTCTACGTTTATTAACATAGTTCCTGTTAACATTTGATATTCGTAAGATCAAGAATATAGATAACAATATGTTTTTAGGAAAACCAGTGCATCGTCCAAATGAACCTAGTAAAACAAAACCACAACCAAGTACAACAAAATGTCAAAAAGTTACATTAAAAGGTAAAAAACAGCTTTTATCTTGAGGGTGTGTGTGCGGATGTTGTTGTGAGTGTGGGGTGTGGCTGGGTAAGAGATACGCACCCGCCCTCATTCTATATATTTTTATTCAAGGTTCTCCTCCTCATCCTTGGAAAAAATTCTCATCTGAGCCATCAGATTCAGATGAATCAATTACATTCTATCTAATTATAAAACAAGATCAAGCAGCACGAGAGAAATTCGAATCATTATTTTGGAAAATTACCAATCCTGATAGCAGTGAATATCAACAATGGTTAACACTATCATAAATCAATGCAATTCTTAAACCTAATACTGAAGCCTTGAATTCAATCAAACGTTGGATTAAAAAGGAATCTTTTGTATCTGTAAACATTATCGGAGGTGATACAGTTCAGATTACAACAACAGTTGAACAAGCATCAAAATGTTTCTCAATTGAATTTCATCCTTATAAAAATTCTAATACAGGACGCACTATTCATCGAATCTTTAATGACATTTGTTTGCCAGATGAAATAAGTGAATATGTTGAGTTTCATCTTAGACTGAATGATTTTCGACAGATTTATAAAAATCCTTCCAAATCACATGAAACCATTCGTTCTACTACAGTTGATGAATTAGATAGTGATACAACAATTACAACTGTTGCGGCAGCCGATGTAATCGAGACAAAACCCTACATTATTCCACAGTTTCTTAAAAAATATTATAACATTCCAGAAGTTTTGAAAAATGATCCATCATCAGTTATCTCTCAAGGGGCACTAGAATTCCTTGGTTTTTACTATAGTGAACAGGACTTACGTTTCTATGGAAAATTACTTGAGTTACCGATTAAACTTCTTAAGAAAAATCATATTCGTGGAAGTAATAATCAATCAAATCCAGGTGCCAATTCAATGACAGATATCGAACAGATGGCTGGTTTAAATCCTGCGGCCGAAACTTGGTATTTCAACTATGATAAAAGCTTTAATTCTTCATTTGGTGAAAATTTCTTCACAACGACACGTTTATTAAATCAGTTGGATGATATACCACAAGTTCTAACCATTTCGTACTTTGAACCTGAAATAGGTATATGTTCAACTGTTAGCAATTGTGATGATAAGACCTTGAGTGCAGCGGAGAAATACATAGATCGTACAAATCTTGAATTCATGAAACTAGCAATGAGAGGCATCACAGTTTTAGTGTTAAGTGGTAGTTCTGGAGCGAATGGTTTTGGAGGAAATAATGAAACTGTAAATTGCACAAATAAAGTGTTTTATCCTGGATACCCAGGCAGCTCTTCATTCATCACATCGGTTGGTGCAACTGAATTAATCAATATGAGATACGAAACATTGCCACATCAACCATCGATTTGTTCCGATAAGACAGCATAGGGGTTGCTTGTGTATCAGATGGACATGAAGTTGCTCTTAGTTTTAATGATACTGGTTCCACTAGTGGTGGTGGATTCTCTACTGTTATGGCTCAACCATCCTATCAAAAAGATGTTGTTAGTCGATAATTTCAAGAAAGTCAATGTCAGAATCAGAAGAGTGAACTTCCAAAAGAGTATCCTCCATCATCAATGTACAGTCGACATGGACGTGCTTTCTCAGATGTGGCTGCACTTAGTGTATACGGTTTTACTGTGACCAACGGTATTTATGAACAATCATTCAGTACGAGTATGTCAGGACCAATATGGGCTGGTATTGTTTCAATTCTCAATTCATATTCAATAAATATAACAAATCGAACATTAGGTTTTCTCAATCCATTGTTATACAAGATGACTAAGGAATGTCCAAAATGTTTTAAAGATATAACATCAGGAGATAATATATGTTTGCCAGGCACCTGCAATGATCAGTGTAAAGGTTTTCAAACTAGTTGTGGTTGGGATCCTGTAACAGGACTTGGTACTCCGAATGTTGGCAAGATATTGAAATATATAAAAAAGTTATTAGAAAAGAAGATAAAGGAAACCAATAACTATCGTAAAGGATAACGATAGAAGAATGACAAAAAAGAGACATAAAAAGGGTTTTAAAATAAGTCAACGGATGATATATTTACGAAAATACATATAAATTGAAATAAATGCTTTCACATCAATATTTGAGGGTGGGTGTAGATGTGAGTATGAGTAGCATACACGTACATCCTCAAGAGATTTATAATACGTTTCCATACTAACATTCCGTGTGTAATAGTTCCTTTCAAAATAGACAATCAGAAATCAAATTAAAAAGATGATAAATATTTCCATCAATATCATGTATCCTTCGACATTTTAGAAATTCGCAATAATAAAAATAATATTGTTTTGTTTTTACATAAACATGTTCTATACTTCTAGGACGATAGAAAAAGATTTGATGACTGTAATCGAGTAAATATCTTGAGGGCGTGAGTGTGGTCATTAGATTCAATACACACCCATGCCCTTCAACGTACAGCCAAACTTGCTAGATCTTCAAGTTCTCGGTATGAAAACTTCTTTTCTTGTACACACAATTATTAAGAGTACGTGCCATCTCACTAGATAGTTACAGGGGTATCAATCGAGTGCCCCGATCGCCGTCTTTATCGATTTTTAAAAGAAAATTCTAGTCTGTCTCATCAATAGATAGAAAATATTAAAGATTTTTTAGCCGTCACCTATGATGGTCTAAGGTTTCAGTGGCATGGACACCATCAAGACATGATTACAAATACTAAATTTTTGAACATTTTAAAAACGGAATCATGTTTGACGATTTTTCTAATCTAATTTCTTATGGGAACAGTCTCTTTATCGTTTTTTCTTGTTTACTCACAATTTCTTGAAAACAAGAAAACTTTCGAAAAAATATCAAAAAATTTAAACTTTAGTCACTGCCGATCAAAAAGTTAACTTACATCTCTTTAGACAAATAGCAAAAAATCTACAGGACTGTCCTGTTTTCAGAAAGTGATATGTCTTATTCTCGATGATAACTTATTTTTGATAATCACATTCCCACATTAATTAGTATGATTGCCGCATTACAGAATACTATGTGTAGGTGAGAGATATGATGAATTTATGAAATCCTTATGATTTAATATATTATTTTAATTGAAATTCATACAGTATTTTGTTATCGTAAAACTTTTCTAGTGAATTATGTCATCTATGAGAAGTATACAATTTAATAAATAGTAAAAACAAAGGACAATAATGTCGGATTGGACCGATTAGTCTGCTTTGAAGCTGGATCATGATCTCTTTTTAACTATTTTAAAAACTATTCACTCATCTTAGTTCACATAAAACTTTATGATCAGCAGCGCCAATGGTATATGTGATGAAGCAACTTACCTATTCATGACAGATTCGTAGAATGAATCAAGAGAAAAAGATGAAAAAGAGAAAACATAATACAAAGAGAAAGGAGATGAATGCTCATTGTACTTCAGGAAATGATTCTGCTCACTAACGGTATCCTCAAGATAAGTAGTGAGGGGTAGTAAATCCGCGCTTACCGCATAGAAAGTCTTATAACTCGCATGCCGTCTGAAAATCTCTTTTGACAGAAAAGAAAATAATTATAATACACAGGATGATTACTTTGATATCCGCTTCAATACACATCGTTTTTATTCATAGATAAAAGCATAAAATAGGCATTATGAAGTTGACTATAAAGGCTGTATTATATTACATGCTTTAAATTCGAAAATCCATCTGTTGAGTATTGATATTAATATAGAAAAGAATAAATTGTATTTTTATGCCTTTAAGAGAACGTAAAAATCAGTGATTACAGTTACAAATCCTTTTAATCATGATAATCATGCAACTTAGTTGATACATATCCTCACTTCTTATAAACTGCAAAAATAATGCACATTCAAACAAAAGTTTTATTGGCTTACACGTCCATTTTGATGTAAAGTCATGCATAAATTAAAAAAATTAATTCATTTCCTTTTTCAAAACTATAAAAGTGGAATGCGGAAGCAAACGATTTGTATCAACATGCAGTGCTGAGAAAATATTCAAAATCAGGGTTTATTTTAGAAGAAATATCATGATTTGCGAAGGGAAAAGAAATATATTCTCATAGTGCACTGACGTAAAAAGAAAGAGACTTTAGACGATTTGTTTGTCAATAGGAATATGTTGTCTTGGATTTTGTTATAATCAATGACAATGACATTGAGTTGATGCTGATAAAAGTGATACATCCATAATAGTTTTGAGAAAAAAAATGGATGTATTAATGCGATATTCACAAAAACGTTTGCTTCGATTTTTTCTTTTTATTACGTTACATGACAACCAAAAATGATTTATAAAATCTTCCACATCTATTTTTCTTACTTACTTACTCAGCATAAAATAAAATTACTTTAGTAAGATGAATAATGATGCTTGATGGTAGTATTTCTGTACCGATAAAGATGGTAGATGTGGGTGTATATGCTACGCATACCCACACCCACACCCACCCTTAGCTCATGACTTCTGCATATAATATCTTGTTACTTTCAAAACAATTTTTTTAAATATAATATCGTCAAACTATTGTTGATTAAAAAACTATTATTAATAAAGAAGAAGTAGATCTTCATATTATTTTTTAATAAAAAAATTTTTTCACACTCAACATCTATGAATCTTTTATGTACCATGGATGTTTTCCTAAGCAAAATTAAATATTAAGTTCGTTGTTAACAATGATACAATCAGAATTGTTGAATATCGTCTGTTGTTTTGTACTCATGTCATATCAATAGACAAATATTTTCTTATCGTAATAGTAACATGTAAACTATATAATTGAGAAATATTTTATAAAAGAGAAGGAATTGTATCGTCTGGTGATTGAACACTTAAAGATAAATGTTGACATTTTCAGGAAAAAAGTTAAATAATTTGTTAATTCTCTCATGATTACTTATAGATCGTAAGCTTTCTTTTATTCCTCATAATTTCAAAGAGAGAATCTTACGAGATAGATGAGTACATATAGAAACATTATTCCAGTGTTCTGTCGCTATTTGTAAGAGACGTTTTTCTACAATCAATGAATATAAATGCAGTATATTTTTCAATAAACAAAGAAATTTTTCTGATGATATTGTTGAGACAGTACCAAACTCTACATGTCGCAATGTTGTCAATCTATGCATCCATTTGATTGAATCAAAATTATTTACATTATTTTTATTAAAATTTTCATTAAGATCAAGTAATTTATACAGAGTTTCTAATGTTTTAATATCAGAGAATACATTCATATTAAAATCGTTGTTATAATCCTTATATAAAGTTGAAACGGTTCTGATATACGAGAACTGTTACTACTTGATAGAATCGATTTTTTCTTCCAACTATACATTAATATATTATGAAAGCATCTACTATAAAGAATAAACAACAGGTTGTAGATAGTAATGAAACAGATATTGTTTAACTAAGAAAAACTTATCATTTCTCTTTTGAAAAAGAGAAAATGAATGTTTTTTATTTTTAAAGTCAATGAAGAACGCGTGTTTTATTTACTTTGTTAATTGCGACGCATTTCCTGTTCTTTGATATAGAGAAGTTATGAGCAGTGTAGACTGTTTCACTTGCACGATACGTTCTTGTATATAAAGAGAGAAAAAAAAATGAATAAAAAAATGTTGGTTTCTATATGGCACCATTGTTTTATGGGAGTGATATCATCAAATCATTCAGTTAATTACTTTCGTCAAAATATCTTTTTGTGAATAAATCACCGATATTTTGTTGATTCAACTAATTCAATATCGCTGTGAGTATTAAGATGTATATAAAGAGAAAAAAAAGAAAATTGTATCGTCTTCTTTATAGTCAGAAAGAAAGTAAATAGAGCTATTTCAAAAGGCCCATACTTCGTAATATTTATTGACATAATCAAACATTTGATGAGTATTATCATAAACACAAAGGAGAGCATATTTAATATTGTTCGACAATTAAAAATGTTTTCTGAATGATGTTCTGCAAAGTGTTTTCAACTTCATTATATACCAAAATAAATTCTCTCCCAACTGTTTTATTATTTTATGTGTAAAAGTTTTGTCGCGATTCTAAATAATATTATTTCTGGTTCCGCGTGCAAAAATAATATATGAGAATATTAAAACATTCTTTGACAGATGTATACTAGCGGTGCTACTTTATTTTATTATTCTTTAAACAAAGAATAAAGAAATTTTTTTTTCTACTAAAACATACTTTTTTTTCTTGAACTAGTTTACGCAAAATTATTATATCGCATAGTTGACTATAATATGGAATAATATTTTTCTGATGTATCGTTTTTTTTTGTAATCCTTTTTAACACATAAATCAACATGCGGTCGCATACCTTTCATAACTGTACTGTGTTTATATACAATTGCTGCGAAGCAAAAAATCACGTATGATATAATCTTGTTTTCTATTGTGAACAAACCTTGTAGAAAAAAAAAACCTGACGTATGTATGTTAGAAATCAGTTGTATCAACTTTCATTTTCATAAGAGTTTTTAATTTGAACTTGAAGTTATCATGTTTCACTTCAGGAGATGAATTTTGTTGTTTAATTTTAAAAAACTTTACTTTTTTCATCCTGAAATAACACGTTCTTGTAGATTTTATGAATATAATAGATATATCTAATGTCTCTCCTAGTCTTGATTCATATTGCTTAAGGGAAAAGATCTCAAGTCGCAAAAAAATAGAAAGAGTAGTCTTGAGACATAGGCATTGCCACTGAGTGTGACCAAAAAAACTTGGTTACGTCTGTCTTTAAACAAAATTTGTGTAACCGATATATTATTTCATATTCCACCACGAGAGAGATATAAAACATACTTAATATCAAGCTAGTCAAAAGAAGATCCGTATATGCATTTGCTTGTTAAATAAAATTTGAAAAAAAAACTATTCTGCTGTCAAAGATGTAAATCTAATTTACTAAAAATATCACCAATAAATAATTTATCGATCAAAACTGATTTGTTTCAACA